ACCTCAAAATCTGTGCAAATACTCCTAAACATGTTTCTGGCAGATTTTCTGTGAATTTAAGTTTTCCTGAATTTTCAGAATACAGCTTGGTTCAGAAACTTGTAATTTCACAAAGCTCCCTCTTGTGTTGTTTTCAGGAACTGATTAAAAATACAATGGGTTGTTTCTGAGACTTCCTGGCTCTATTTTCATCTCCCAACTGTTTCTTTGGTTCCTTATCTAACTCAGTTTGGATTTTACTCCCAGAGATTTCACCTTAGCATAATCCCAGAAAAACAATGCACTCAGTTTTAAAAATTCACAGACGTAGGTTTTGCTCAAGTCACTTTAGAACTCACCATAAGTGTACTACACTGGTCAAAGAAAGTGAGGCAAAAACAAAACAAAACCTCTACTCATTCTAAACTGTCCTTTAAAAAAAAGTTTAGAACTGCAAACTGTTCAGCCTTTCTGGATGCTTCTATTCCCAGATACAGACACCTCACTGTTTCTATTTCCTTATGTCTGAAACTAATAAATGTAGACCTTTTTGCTAGTTCTATTTAATATTTGGGGATTCCTCTTCAGCAAGTTCTGTTACAAATATTTTTATGGGTTTTTTAGTTCCATTTAGTAGGTATATCAAAAGTGATTAAAAAACAAAATCTGCACTTATACCATTAGTGTAATCACCCCAGAATCAAATACAAGACTAAATAATATATTTTTTTTATAGAGGCGACTCTCCACTAGAGTTGTGTGCCTGCTGGTTCAGTGTCTGGAGGCCTAGAAGTGCTCTGGAGCCTCATGGAGTAATTAATGTTCACACAACCAGGTGGGGCTGGGACTCACAAATTCAAGCTCAAAACCTTAAGCTATGTCCCCAACCCCAGACTACCCTTAAAAGTCAATTTTGCATCTCTGACACTCCCCAATGCTGTTTTTAAGTATTCAACTAAGTTATTATACAAGTATATATGATACCATTAGCTATATTTTTTTGTTTTTATATAATAGCATCATTTGTATAACACTCCTAAAAGGCAAGTTCTCTTACTCACTGGACTATTGCTCTGCCTCTCTAAAGTTTCATTAAGCAAAGGCATTTTGTGCATTCAGTGCTTTCCTTAAGTAAAAATTCAGAGAATTGTCAGAAATATGTTCAGTGTATTAGCAGCAATTCTCTGGGAACTTATTTATGGTTTCCAACGAGATTTTCTTTTTCCGTCCTATGTGAAATAATGAAATACACAAAATTACTATCCCCAGAATGACACATTAAAGACAAACACACACACACACACACACACACACACACACACACACGGTATCAATATTCTCCGAACGCCACACACTAAAGACACAAAGACAATGTACACAGGTACAATGAAACTCAAATATATTATCTAAAAATGAAAAGACACCAAACTCAAGTGCCCTACCCACTGTACAATCTCTCTGACCCCCTACTACACTGTAGTTTTTCTTCCTTTCACTTCTTTCATTATTCTTTATTAAAATAATTTTATTAAAACAATATATGGGGGCTGGAGAGATAGCACAGTGGGTAGGGTGTTTGCCTTGCCTTGTGACCCAAAAAGAAAAAAAAAATAAAATAAACCACAATATATGAAGCACCTATTGTACACCCAGAACTATACTAAGTAGTAGCAGGCCCAAAATATTGCTTCCATATTTGTTTCTAAGATACAATAGCACAGACCAAGATAATTTTCAGGAGTGACAAAATATTCAAGATCTGCACTGTTCAATGTGGTAACGCTAACAGTATTTGCAATGAATGACTTTAAGTTAAGTAGCCACTTACTATAGTGCCTATAATGTTAGGCAGCACAGGTCTACAGAAAGACAAGGAAAAAATACAAAAATTACAATGTATTGTAGCAAACACTAAAGTATGTATAAAAGCTATAAAAGCAAGGGAAAGAATATCAGACATGGTTTCTAGAAGAATTTCTTAATTATAAAGTTTCATTTTAATGGGTCTCAAATTTTTTTTAAAAATTTTGCTCAAATTGTTTCCATTAAAAAATATACTGATATTTATTTCTTTGACTTCGGGGGTACACGGAGCTGTGCTCAGGATTTACTACTGGTTCTTTACTGAGGGATCACTCCTGAGGGTTCAAGGAATCTGAGGTTCCAGGATTCAAAGTTAGACAAGTCACATGCAAGGCAAGAACCTATCCACTGTACTCTCTCTCCTACCTCCAGAGTATTGATTTTTAAAAATAGTGTAGAGGAAAGAGAGCTCATTGAGTTGATTACGTGCTTTCACCATCCTGAGCACTTGAGAGTAGGATCTTTGAGCACAGAGCTGGGGTAGGCCACAGAGCATCACTGGGTATGGCCCCAAAACATAAAATACAGAAATTAAAACTGATAACTAAAAATTGCCTCCCCAAAATAATCCACAAAACATTTTCCTTTCTTTTGAAAGGAACGAAAGCATCCTTACTTTTATCATTGACCAGTCCTTTACTATTAAACTTAAAACAGCCAAGTCAGACACAGTTCTGAGACTTTTCTACTACCAATTAAGACTGAGGTGGCAAGTGCTGGAAGTAGTATTTAGCTTCTGAGTATTCTGGGAGGATCTGGCAACCTTGCTAACTCCAGCTGCTTTGATGACAACCATGACAATGGTTTACATCATACCAAGTGCTTTAATCATATGAGGAAAGAGGAGGGGCTTTAGAGAAAGACTAAAACAACATAAAGGCTTAATAGAGTCAAAATACAAAGAGAATAAAAACTGCATTACTTAATGGGAAAACTACAGAAATCAGAGGATAGCCAGCAGAGGTAAAAGCTCTGAGAGAGGTAAAAGCATATCCGGGCCATAACAGGGACACTGTGAAGTGCAAGTGCTTAAATTATAAAATGGAGGAAATTCAATTTCCTAACAAATTCCTAAATGGTTAGTCAGGTCTATAATGACAATCAGGAAATGACAAGTGAAGAAATATTATCCTTTTTATTAAGATAGTATTTTATTAAATTTTTTTAATAAACTAAGTCTGGGAGTGTGGTACTTTAGACCTGGCAGCACTCAAGGGCAACCAGGGCTATCTGAACAGTGCTCAGGAAAAACAAAAGTTCACTAAGATATATTTTAGTGTTTAAATATGGATACAAAGATATCTTTCTTTTTTTTTTTTTTTTGGCTTTCTGGTCACACCCAACAATGCTCTGGGGTTTCTCCTAGCTCTGCACTCAGGAATTGCTTCTTGCATTGCTCATTGCTTGGGAGACTACAACAGAAAGCCAGGGATTGCCAGGCAGGCTGCATGCAAGGCAAATGCCCTACCCGCTAAACTCAACCTACCCGCTGTACTACCACTCTGGTCCCCAAAGATATTTTTATCAATGAAAATAAGAAAATAAAATTTCTCCAATGGAATTTTTAAAAATAAGAATTATCTCAGTATATTCAAACTCTGAACCATATCTATATAATACAAACTATGTATATTCAAATTCTCAGTTAAGCTTCCTAGATAATTTTAATATAGTTATCATAGCATTAGAAATTATATTTCTAGTATGTGTATTTTTCAAAAGAGGCTTTAAATTATTTTACAAAGGAGATTGCTTCCATGGGTATTTCAATTGGCATTAAATGTCACTAAGAACAAAACAGAAAATATTTCTAACAAAAAAAAACCTAACCTAGAAAGCATTGTTCAGCTAAGTTCAAAAACTTGAATTAATATAACTGAAACAATAACTTGGAACAGACAGGAATTAGAATTTTTTTTAATATACAGTAGTCTCATTTTATTACATTCTTAGCTGTAAATTTTGGAATTTTTAACTCCAGGAAGTAAATTTACTATACAATATAAGCATACAAAAGTGCTAAATCAAATACTTTAGGAACAGAATTATTATTAAACCACATAACCTAGAACAATATCCTTAAATGAATTTAGCAAAACCTAAAAAAAGATGTAATAGTGCAAGTGATATGGTAAATTAAGATCCTTTTAAGTCAAGGTAGTTGGAAGTGGTGGCAAGGCACATGGAGCTATAGCCAAGTGTATTTAACGAAAACCAAGTTGATCAAGTCTCAGAACAACTCATAACTAAAAAAGTTACAAGGAAAATTAATTCAGCAGAGGCATAGTTTATTTTGGTTTATTCAAATCATAAATATCTAATTAGAAATTTCAGGCATAAAGTCAGGTGAAACTCTAGAAGGGCTAAATTAAATATACATACATGTATAAGGGCAGTACCCTAGCCAGACTTTAAATTTTATAATCAATGACTCTTTACTAGTGCATCACGAAAATCTATTTACAGATCTCTCCATTGGTCACTTTTCCAATTGGGGGTGTATGTGCGGTAGAATAAGATAAACTGGAATAAAATGTGATTAATACACAAGTGGTTATTTAACCAAAGCTGCTGTTATCAAACTGTCTTCACACACTAGAGAAAATGGAACTAGTGAACAGAAGGGGGAGAGGGGGAGGCTGGAGACAGATCTGTGCAGAACCCCTTACAGTTCATTACTACTTTAGTTCTGAACTATTCTGTATTCTGATTTACTACGTAATCTGATAACGGATCACTATTTTAAGAATCACTATTTAACATTATCTTAAAGTGCATCTTTTAAAAAAAATTAGAAAGAGAAATTTCATACTTTCACTGTTTCAGCACCTCTACACCTCTAGCACAGGGAATGAAGATTTCCAATCAACCTGATACATGAGGAAACAAGAATTCAGAAATCTGGATTTTCCATTTTTTTTCTTCCCCATTTTGCCCACATTTCTGCAGTGCTCTACAGTACTAAATATGGTCTAAGACTAGCTCTGAAATGAGTCCTCAAGTTTCATACTATGTATATGTATCTATATGTTATGTATATATACATACACACAAATATTATGCTGATATTTCAACCTTCCAGTTAAAAATATTAAACAGTTAAATGCAATTATATGACCAATAGAGAATAAAAGCAGGGAAAAAAATAAGACTCTTACCTGGTAGTTTCTTTTCTCAGATAATGTATGTCCATCAGTCCTCACCATAGAGTCGTGTCCTTTCCTCACAGTACTGGAGGCAATCAAATAGAACTGTCACTCAAGGGTCGTGTCACAGGAAGGACCGCCCACCAGTTCTCCCTCTAGAGTGGAATTATCCAAAAGCCATCAAAATTACTAACAGGTAACATACACAGGAACAATAGCAAAAATATCCAACGATACATTAAAAAGAAAACAGAAACGAAAACCTTTTATATCTAGCTAATAGTTGTCTCAGCATTTAGGGAGGCTATACTGACATAGATTTTTAAATATAAAGAACAATGATACAAAGTCTTGGGCACTTTGGTGTGGTATGAAGGTGCTATGACTTTGTACAACAAAGTCAAATAGTTAATATTACTGTAAACTGTGTTACCTGAACTACAATAATTTTAACACAAACACACACCCACACGCACCACTTTCCTCCCACAAAAATCAACACTGTTGTAAACTATATTACAGTTTTTACAATTTTTACATTACAATTAAAAAAAATTTTTAACCCTTTTCCTCCCATTTCTATTTAGTCTCTCTGATTAAAATTTTTTACCACAACACACACACAAGGAAGAGAACTACAATGGGAAGAAACAGAATGAACAAAAAAGTTGAACCCTCAAATGACACTGTTCTTTTCTTTTTACATGTTCTATTACTCTTAGATTCAAATAACATAGATCCAGTATTTAATTTCAAAGTCCTCTTCTGAGTGTTTATTTATATTACTCTTATTCAATTTATGAAGTCTATTATGCCATAAGGAGATACAATATAAGATACATCATATGTATATTTTTGGAAGACCTAGCTCAATATTCTATTATCTTTAAGTCAGGTGAATAGCAACAAATGTCAATTTTTTGATATTTCTGTCGTTCAATCCTCTATTTATATACATCCTAATAGAATTTAAAACAATAGGAAAAAAATGAATGTCCTTTTATCTTTAACCTAAGCAAAGGCAATTTCAAATTGCATAGGCAATGAACCCCTCTGGTACAAAAAATACTTCAATTTTTCTTTTTTTTTATAAGTGTTATTTATTTATTTATTTATTTATTTATTGAATCACTGTGGGAAAGGTTACAAAGCTTTCAGGTTTAGGTCTCAGTCATGCAAATATCAAACACATTTCCCTTTACCAATACTTATTTTTAACCATGAAGAACCCCAATAAAACCCCACCCCCACCCCTCCCAGTCCCTGTGAGGCAGATGAATTCTAGTTAACACTCTATCTGCTTTGATTAGATTCAATGTTTCAATAAAAGATTCACCACTATTATTTAGAGTTTACCCCCCCCCAAATCAGACATGCTGAAAAAGCATTGTGAAGTGATTTGCTTTCTACAGCTGGGTTCAAGAATTAAATGTTGGTTTTGGATTTCTGCTATTTTACCTATTGACCCTGGAAGTAAAAAATACTTCAATTTTTCAAAAGTTGTACTAAAAATTTGTAAACAGACATTTTCAAAATGAATGTCTTTTACCTTTCAGTAAAATTTTTATTCCCATGAAGTAGTACACTTATCAAGTAAATGTTCCTATCAAACTATCTATAATCGCTAATCACTAAATGTATACTCTAATTTCAAACAAGGAATTATCATAAAATTTCCATTGACAGATGAAAAGATCCAGTTCTTTAAAAATACTAAATGAATTTTATTAAAACTGAAAGAACCATATTTCCTTCTGACTAATTATGAAGAGCTCAGCTGGGCTGGCTGCATGCAAGGCAAACGCCCTACCGCTGTGCTATCGCTCCAGCACAGCGGTAGGGCGTTTGCCTTGCACGCAGCCAACATGGCCGATCAGAGTTTGATTCCTCTGCCCCTCTCGAAGAGCCCGGCAAGCTACCGAGAGTATCTCGCCCGCAGGGCAGAGCCTGGCAAGCTCCCCGTGACGTATTCGATATGCCAAAACACAGTAACAACAAAGTCTCCAATGGAGATGTTACTGGGCCCGCTCAAGCAAATTGATGAACAACGGGAGGACAGTGACAGTGACAATTATGAAGAGCAAACATTTCCCATTATTATGTTATATGGTTGATTGTATTGTATTGAAGGATTGTAATCCAAAGAGAAAATGAGTATATATGAGACAAAGTACATGTAAAGAACTAGTACAACAAAACAGAAAATGGCTATATTTATAAAACACACACAGAGTCTGAACCAGAAACCAGACCAGTTATATGAAATAAATTCTCAGACACCTAACATCATCTGAGAAATCATGATTAGACTAGTCCCTGTAGAGAAAGGTAGGAAGCTGAAACAAGGAGGAGATTGAAGGGTAAGAGGTAAGAGTGAAACCCACGGAGTCCCAAAGTCTCTCTGAGTTAAGGGAAAGAATTCAGTTAGGAGAGACATACCGGGGCAGCTAGAATTTGCAAGATAAATATATAGAAGGAAGCTGTGGAAGCAAACATTTTTAAAGATCTGGAGAGATTCTGTTTTCAAGGTTTAAAAGCGAGTAAAGATCACGAATACAAGTAGGAAAAAAATGTGAGTCTGGAGAAGATTTTGTGAGGAATAAAAATAATCAGAACAATCTCAAGAGCTCACATCCCCAACCAACAGGAGTAAAAAGACCCCCGAAAACATGAAACACTTAGAGGTAATAAAACCATAGTTCTTTTAATTAAACGATGCTCTGGAATCACAGTAACAAAATTTAAAATGAAGACTCCAAAGGATGAAATCAATCTACTAACTGTACCTTTAAACTTAAGTATAGGGGGCTGGAGCAATAGTAGAGTTGGGTAGGGATGTGCCTTGCAGCCAACCTAGGACTGACCCCCCCCCCCCCCCAGCACCTCCAGGAGTGATCCATGAGTATATAGCCAGGAGTAAGACCGAGCACAGCTGGGTGTTGCCCAAAAGCAAAATAACAGTAGTAGTAGTAGTAGTAGTAGTACTAGTAGTAGTAATAAAATAAACAAGTATAACTTGAACATAACCGCCATAAAACAAAGCCCAGCATTACATAATGTAAAATTAAATATTTTCATCCCACCAAAAAACTTAGAATGGTTTCTAAGCACATAAAATATAACCCATAAGGTAAAATATAGTAAATGGAGATAAACCCAAAAAAGATACAGATGATACAAATAAGTAGACAAAGTTAAAACGGGTATTGTAAATGCTTTCCAAACCTTTATGAAAACTGAATGTGCAAGTATCAAAATTTCCCTTTAGATGACAGAAAATTTTGCATCTATTGCACCTGTTTGTGGTGGTGATTATATAATTATACACAAAAAATACCAAAAAATGACAGACATAAGAAATGTAAATACACATACACAAACAGAAGAAATTAGATTTGTAGCCTACTTAACAATACTAATAATCCACTACAGTCAAGATGACAACGCTGAAGGAAGATATATGATGGGCATAAGAGATTTACATAACACAATTTTTTAATCTTCCTATATTATTAAAAATTCAAAGACTGGGGCATGTGGAGTAGTTTGGGGTCATATCTGTATGTGCTCAAGATTTAACCCTGGCTCTGAAGGTGCTTGGTGGAACACATGTAGTACTAGGGATTGAACTGGAGTCAGTGTGTGAAAGGCAGGCACCTTAATGCCTATACTATCTCTCCAGCCCCAAAACAAAGACTTTTCAAAGGCTCAAACTGGTCTCCTAGACATAAGAATTTGGTACCTATAATTAAATTTACAAAGAATAGGACTTTAGGCAGACTACATTAAAAAACCAACCAACCAACCAACCAACCCACCCTGGAAGACAGAAAAAAGCCAAAATCAAACACAGTGAGAAAAACGTCTAGCAAAAACATGAACAGAGGACAATGAAGTATGGAAATAATCAAACCAGACAATAAACCACGGGCAGTACCAAACCGCTAACAATTAAATATCCTAGGAAAGAGGGAAGGACAGAAAACAATGACCAATTTTCCCCCTAAATTTGATGAGAACTGTAAACTTAGATATAAGCCCTTCAGGAGAACAAAACAATACTTCATTGTAGTATTTCAAAGTGAAATTGCTGAGGGAAATGTGATAGAAATCTTAGAGTAGCTGTAAGGGAAGAAAAAAAGCAGGAAAAAGTGACCAGAATACTCTGCAAACCACTCAAATAGTGTCAAGAGCAGGGATTCTTGAATTTTCCCCATTTGTAACAATTTTGACTGAGAAATGTGTACTTGATCAGGACATACAGACAAGCAAGCAAAACACTTACTGATAATCATAAAGAAATTTATCTTGAAACAAATTTTAAAGTTTTTTTTCCCTACTCATCTCCCATTCTGCTATTTAACACCATATGGGGTCACATTTGGCAGTGTAAGCTAGAAGGTCAAAATCAGCTTTCTCAACTGGGGGCGATACAGCGCCCCATAGGACCCTGGGATACTTTAAAATTTGTTTCAAGATAAATTTCTTTATGATTATCAGTAAGTGTTTTGCTTGCTTGTCTGTATGTCCTGATCAAGTACACATTTCTTGTACTTGATCAGGACGAACCCTTTAACATTGCCAGATGTGGCCCCAAAACAAAGCAAAGTAATAAACCACAAAATATAAAAAATCAGTGATATCTCTTGGTTATCAGGTGTATTTTAAATTGATTCAGTTAATACTCATGTACAGCCAAAGTAAGGACTGCCCGAGTTAAAGTGTTACTGGGAAAGTGAAATTTAGGGAGCTAGCTCAAAAGGGGCAGAGTATATGCTTTATAGAGCCAGGAGTAACCCCTGAGCACTGCCAGTATGACAACCCCTCCCCCTGAAAATAAAACAAAAAAATTTAAAAATAAAAAAATTTTAAATGCTTTTTTTGGTTCAAGTTATTCCCCACCCCCCCATTTCCCTACCTTACCCCATTCTTTCATTTCCCAACCTGCCCCCAGTCCCTGAAATTAATAACTATTCCTTGTTTTTAAATTTACCTTCTTTAGATTCTACAAGGGATACCACACAGTATTCCTTCCTGAAAGTCCAAAATTTCTTCGGTCGAAACACGAACACTCAAAGTTCGGAAGCAGGTTAAGAATAAAAAGTAGATGCAAGCATCAAGCATCAACAAAACACAGATTAGAAAAATTCATGAG